CTTATTTCCGGATACTCAGCAAAATCTTGTAATTCATATTTTTAATCGTTTTTTTTTTTTGTAAAACTTTTGAAACGAGGTGTTTTATTGTAAATATGTATAAACTACTTTTTTACGTTTATCACAAGAGATATATTTCATGCCAATTTTAAAACGTTAATGTTTAAAAACTTAACCTCGTTTCTACAGTTACAAATACAAATTTAAAAATCTTTTGCTATAAAATGATAAAATACGACTTGATATTTTTCACACGTAACCAACGATAACATAACGATTACAGTACAGATTTTTGAGTTATGAAAATAAATCATGTAAAGACTAGCCTATTACCCAATTTTAGAAAAAGTCCTTACTAATTTATATTGCGTTTCTTTGGAATGAAAAGGAATGATGATTAAGGAATGATAAAACCATTAATTATATCACCAACGCTTATTTTATATTTAATAGCATAATTTATTTACTTAGAATGAGTAGATTTTATGTGTAGAATTACTTTATTCTCATTTATATTTAATAAATATATGACCAAAGAAAAATTAATTACTTTCAGTATTATATTATACAACTTTAGTCTAATTATCAAATATTTCAATTGGTATTAAAAAAAATGACTTCAAACTTAAAAGTTCTTAAAAACTCCTGAATATATATAAAAATTTGCATCAGGATTTTTTTATTCTCAAGGGACATAGTACTGTCACTACGAAAATTATTGTATTTGGCATATCATAATTTCAAACGAATTTAGATTACAAAAAAACCTTAACATTTAAAAAAAATATGGATCAATTCAACTTTTATGAATATTTTAATTTCAATTTGTGTCATAATTATTTTTAAATTAACATCATAATGTATTTTCTAAAACGTAATCTTTTTAGCGATGTGAGAATCATGAATATGTTTACTTTAACAAAACAATATGTTATTGTTGACGTAATGTTTAATGTTATTTTTATTTTACTATTTTCTAATTGTTACTACTCTAATATAAAATGTTTAAAATATATACAACCTAACCATTCTTTAATCTTGATTTTTTGAAAATAAAGATTATCCATTTTTTTTAAACAGACTTCTCCGATAATGAATTTAACAATAGTCATTTGTGCATTTTTTTTGGCTAATAGTCGAGTTGACACCCTACCAGATTCTCTGACAAAACTTATAAAAAATCCAAGTTGGGCATATTTGTGTGATGTTATTATATACGAAAAAAAAAACGAAATAACTTATACAAAATTAATGGAGAATCCAAAAAAAAAACACGTAAGTCGTTTTATTACATGCAAACACGCGAATTGTATTTATTGTTTTAGTACTCTCATGTTGCATTTGGCAGAAGCATGTAAAGATGCCACGTTAGAAAGCGATAAAAACAATTGTACAGCTTCTTTTTATGACATTTTAAAAAACGTTAGTCTCCATATATCGCATTTTATAAAAGTAACAATCTTTCTTAAGAATTTTAATGGTTTTGAACCATTTTACTTAGAGGAACCTTTAACAAATTTCCATGAAAATATAAACGAAATATTAAACAAGACAGAAAAAAATCATACAACTTTACTAGAAATGATGAAACCAGTTACACTTTTAAAAGAAACTTTAGAGAAATCCATACTGTCGGTTGATACTAAGGTTTGCGGAAGAAATCAATCTCTGAACATACTGTTAGACAATAATAATTTGTTAAAAGAATATAATAATATAACTGTCAAATCCACGTCATTTTATATATTTCTTAAGAATAAAATTGTACATTATTCATCCCATTACTATATTACATATGTTTATGGCCTTGGCTTTAGATTTATTGAAGATAATGTAANTACATATGTTTATGGCCTTGGCTTTAGATTTATTGAAGATGATGTAAAAATATTGAATGTACAATAAATATTTATTAATTGTATTTTTTTTTACTATATTTTCGATATCACATTAGTTTTTCTTAATTTTACCCAATTACGATTGATGTAATAATAATACTAAGATAATAATTAGTTTTGTAAAATTAGAGTAAAAAATTAACTTAAAAAAATTTAATACAGTCGAGATCCAGTTGACTTGAAGTTGAAGCATTTTTTGATGTTTCTTTTTTTGTCACTAACACCACTCATTTTCAACTCTCACTGGATCTATTTTGATGAATAATAGTCCTAAGATCACAAATCGTATCTAGTCGAAGACATTAGCCTAAAAATTAAAAAAAATTTCCCTCGTTCTCGTAAATGGGGTAAATCCCCTAAAACAATACAATTTAAAAAATCATTAATTTTCGACATTTTTTTTTTTTCTTAAAACTGTCTTTAATTTTTTAAAAATGAGCAAATTAACATAATTTTTATCTTTGTATTCATCTTCGTACACTCATTGGTGGCTGTTTAATGTTACGACAATCGAATTATATTAAAATAGCTTTCGGAAATCACAGTTTACAACAGAAAGGGACATGTCCATAGCATGCTTTCTTTCTACAGTAAACTTTTATTTTTATATTTTTACATTTATCAGCTGTAACAAATTGGTACGACATATAACTCATAATCAACTATATAAATTAGAGGCCAAAATATTAAAAAAAAACATTTGCTTATGCAATGCCTCATGGAAAATGTTCTGAGAACTGAAAAAACTTCGTTTGCTTCAGTATCATTATTTACATCATCACATCACCATTTATTTTTCAAATCAAAAAGAAATTAAATCTGTAGATTATATAAACTCTTTAATACAGCATAAGTTAATGACTTCAATATTATAGTTGAAAGATTATAGTTATTTCTGAAAGACTACAAGTAAATTGATACAAGTGATCTCAAAGAATAAAAAAAATAATAATTAACACAACGAATTGAATAACATAAACATTTTACTATATTTTTATACATACTATATTTTTAATAATATTATGTTCTTGCTGATGTACCTATAATGAAAAATATATCTACTATTTATTTTAATTTTGAATGCACAAAGTTTTTTTGACAATATATTGTGTCACTAGTGATGAATAAAGATAACATTAATTTTATTTAATAATTGTTAAATATTTTTATTTTACTTATTTATATGCACATTAGTATCTAACATTTCAAAAAATATACAGTCAATAATACATGAATATCGTTATTTAAAGATACATTTACAATTAGTGCAGGGGGTGATGATAAATCCATTACAATTCTGTATTATAATAATACAATATTTCATAAAAACTTAAATAAATTGTTATTATGGTACACGTTTACTATGTTTATTGCAGAAAGGAGACATGACCTTAACCTAAAACAATTAATTCCAATGAATCTCTAAAATCTTTTTTTCTAATTAAGTTAAAATATTAATATATACTGTAAAAAACAATGCTAAGGTTTTAAAACTATGTATTTATTATTTCAATTAATATCCAGTTTTTTATTTCTCTTGAACAAGTATAAAAAGTGAACATGTCTTCCTTTCTGCATTTAATGACTCATTTACTATTAAAATAAAATCTTAAACATTTTATTAATATCAAAATATGTGTTGCCATTTGAAAAAACAAAGTTGACACATTTATAGGCATATGGGATGAACTTAAAGTATAACATAGCTCAAAATTCAAGAGAAATATGTAACTAATGGTAAAAAAAAAAAAAAAAACTGTTTACATTTTTTTTATTCAATAAGTAATTTAGTGGGTTATGTTAAAAAAACTACTCTGTATATATACATTGAAAAAAAAAATTTACTATAAGATACTTAATATTTTTTTTTTATTAAATAAATTGTTTCTGATAACAGAACCGCCGTATATACAGAGTGATTTTTTTATTATAGCCCTTCAATTACTTACAGAATAAATATAATTAAAAAATTTTTTTTTTTTGGTTATCTTTAGTACACATAATTCTTGAATTATTAACTATGTAATACTTTTTAAGTCCATCCCTTATACCTTGTAAGGGTGTCAACTTTGTTTTTTTTAATGGGAACACATATTTTAAATTTAATAAAATGTTTGAGTTTTTAATTTAATAGTACATGGCATTTGAATTTTTAATATAACTTTATTCGTTTATTAGATATAAACATTTAAAGTTTCAAATTTTTTTTTAAAATTAGTTTTTCATGTCATTGCTGTCGTAGTTACGGATTGTTTATTATCAATCATGACTATAATAGATATACTTTTTATATTGTCAGTTAGTGTATTTATAAACTCACAACAATGTGTCTTACTACCATTGATAATAACAATGTTGTGTACTTGCGAATATTGATGTCATATTAAAATACTAATGATGTTGATCCCTTAATTGAATTTTAAAAAAAAGTGGTATTAAAAAACATTCGCAAATAGAATATCTTAGAGTTACTTTGTTCATTAACATCTTCAGTGTTAAGAGACACATTTTAAAAGAAAAAAAAAGATTTTTATTTAAAGAAAACTTATTCAAAGGTAATCAAAAATGGTGGATATAAAATTTTAATATAAAGAATAAAGTTTAAATAAGTACTTTTAGTAAAATTGAATCTATATAGAGCAGATTTCATTTTAAGCTATTATTTTACGGTTGGCGATTGCTCTGGATTCTTGGTAACTTAAAATTTACATAAACATATATATATGAGGTAATATTTCTTTTCTTTGCAATTGTGTTAGTAAAAGAAAAACACTGACACCGATATAAAAATTAATAAAAAAAATAATGAATTAAACTTAAAATCATAAGAGTTTCAATTATTTTAATATCTGTTCAAACAACACACCCATGAAGATATATTATATTATATTATATTGTTGTTCTTTTAATATTTATTTCTATACCTTTTTGAGTTATAATAATATACATTAATACAATTTTTTAAATATTAATAATTATTTTTTTCAATAAACTGTTTCATTTAAATTAAAACTATAAAATTGTTTGAAATAAATACTGTATATTAATACTTAAATTTTGTATTCAGGCTATTTTAAAAATACTTTACAAAATAATTTTTATTTAAAAATATTCCCATGGTCTCACAATATCAACAATGATAATCAAGCAGCCGACAATTGCGCTACTGCCTGTACTTTTGATAGCTAATCGAAGTTTATAAGATCCATAGAAAAATGTTTTGGGAACAAAAATGTTTGTTTTTTGAAGTTTTACAAAAAACTCATCTACATCTAAGTTACTCACGACATAATTATTCTGAAAAATAAATTTTGAAGAAAAAAATTAACACAATTATAATTTGATGCGATTTAAGTGTATCCATTCACGGAAAAAATTTTACAAATAAACTTATAATTTTTTTCTTTATTTGCATATTCTTATAAGTATTTAAATGTACATCAAATTAAAAGTGAAAAAAAATTTTTATCATTTAATTATGGACATAGTATAAAATATTTTTTTCTAGATGCTTATAGTTCCATGCTTTTATTTATAAGTTTAGATTATAGATCTGCCATGAATATTTTTTAACACAGCGCTCTATCTGCCCCCCTAATAAGAAATATTTCAGTTTATTTGTGAAGTTTCAGCCCTCCATAATACTCAGACTAAAACAAATATATTTGATTAATATTACTTTTATATCAAAGATCTTGCATGTTATTCAATATAATTCAATTAAAATAATTAAGTTAAAATTAGTATAATATATTTATTAATTAATCATAAAATTTTATTTTGTCGAGGCCATTTAAATCAATATAAAAAATATCGATATAATTTTACCAAAAAACTACCAATATTGAAATTATATCGATATTCGATTACTATTGTTGATCCCTAATATGTATTTAATAAAATATATTTTATATTTTATTAAATAGTATTTTTGTACTTTAATGTTGAATTTTAGCTTCGATGCGAAGCTGATAAGGTATTGGTTTTACTAAGATGTGTTTTTTTTTTGTGTCTGTTACCACTTTTTCTCCGCTCTCACCGAACCGATTTCTTTCAATGATACGTCAAAAGATCACAAATCGTATCTAATCGAAGACATTACTCTCAAAAATTAAAAAGATTTCCCTTGTTTCCCGTAAATGGGGGAAATCTCCAAAAAAATTACAAATTTAAAAATCGCTAATTTTCGATATTTTTTCAATTTTTTTTACTAAAAACTGCCATAACTTTTTTAAAAATGAACATATCAATATAATTTTTTTTTTATAGATACATAATGTTCTTATCTATGATTTGGTATATTTTTTTTTATATGTGACCCTTTACTTAGATTTAAAATGACAACTTTTTCACAAAAAATTAACTTTTTCAACTTAAATTTTGAAAGTGTTCCGGAAAGTCTGACACTTTTATATATATCTTAAATTAAAGCTAATGTAATGTACATTATTATGGAAAAAAAAAATTTCGGACTTTATTTTGTCTTCATGGTGAAAATGACTACCGAATGCTATTTTTGTGTGAAAATACTCGATATAATTTTTTACATTTTACATCAATACAATTTTTATGAGAAATAATATTTATATCCCTCTTTTATTCGACATACTTTATCTTAATCGGGATATAAATAAAGAAATAGCAGATCATGTAGCTTTTGGAATAATCCACCAATTTTTTAAAACTAAAAACTATCTAAAAATTTGCATCGAAGCGTTTTTTATGATAGTGATTTTAATCACTGTCAGATATCATTATACTTGACCCAACTATGCCACGTCATCACTGTGCCGCGACACCCCGTGCTGGGTTTTTTTCAATTGTAGTGTCATATTAAATGGACAAAAATTAAATTAACAAAAAATCATATAAAAATATTAAAAATTCATAACTCTATGTTGTTGTATTACAAACATACTTACTGCTTTAATTGGACATGAATTATCAGAAATATTTGAACTTTTTATAAAAACTATCCATCCTTCATTCCATTTTGATTTTATTGTGGAACAAGCATTTTTGGTATTATAAATAAAAGCATTATCTTTCCAACCACCTATTTTATCCATCACAGCTACGTTTACGTCTGCCTATTTATCATCAAACGATAAATTTACTTTACAAAAACTAATGGAAAAACTGATGATTTGACGAATTTTCGTTATTTGAGCACATATAAGAGGCTTACACAATAAAAACATCCTCAAAATTGAAAATTTTATGCCTCGAAAAATATTTCATTGAAAACTTAAAAGTAAATATTTTCCTGCTTCTATGCATTGTCGTATAGATAAATCTGGAAACTTGGCTATTTTATTGTACTATTATTGTAACGCGTTTTTCAAGAGTAAATAGCTGAGTTGCTAGACCTTTATATAATAACGTGCTTTTGTGAAAGCATTAAATTATTATAATAATAATAATTTAATTGAAATGATTTTTTTTTAATAAAATAGTTATTGAACATCACCATAGATTGGCATTGTTAACAATTTCTGAATGTGGTATTAATGAACGTTTATCAGAAATGTTTTTCTATATGAATTCCGTAGTATCACAGTTAATTAAAACAGTTTAAATTAAATGATTTAATTCAAACATAAATTAAACTTTCTAGTTAATATATTTTAGTTATACTAATGGGGAGATAAACACTATACAAGGTGTTTCACCAAGTTCTGACAATTTTTATCCAGCAAATATTTTGAATTATTTATTTTTTCATAATTTTTGTAGTTTTGATCTACGTTAAAAGTATATTTTTTATTATATGTCTCTAATTACATTTTTTAGTCCTTACAAAACATTTCGATGGGTTCGTAATTTTAGGACAATTACTTATTGAATTACAAGTATTTTAATACATGGAGAGAGTATGTAACGCAGGCGGATACAACTCTATGTGCACTACGCCTGAGATCCATACACACTTTACGTATTCATACTTTATACATCCAAAATTTAATGTGAACATTTTAAAAATAATATTTTTCACAAAAGTAAATTTTATGAAATATTAAAACCCTAAATATATCTAACTATCTACTACTTCATGGCTATTAAATATAGATGACGCAATCTATATTAAACATAGATAATGAGTTATCCTTAGTAAATTTTACAAAAGATGACCGACACTTTTAAGTTTTACTTTAAATTTCAGTTTTAGCTTAATAAAATTTTTGAACTACAAATATAATTAGGTTTAACTTGAACAAACAGAGTTGATCGTATGACTAATTTACGTTTGTTACTAAAACGAAATCAGTTTATACTACACTTACGGATAATAAATCATCAAATGGAATTTGTAAGTCTATATTACCCACTAGTAATATTTTATTTTTAGAAACTTTACTCTGATGAAGATTCAAGTCAATCTTATAGTTTGTACTAGTATTACATTTGAAAGCCACTTTGAATTTAAACCTGAACTCTCCCTATTTAAAATAATTAAAATAATTAATTGAATTTTACATTAATTAACATTTTGTTATAAACAAAATTATTGTTTTTAGAGCTTACTACAGGAAGATTTGGAAACAAGTTTCTTTCACATTGGCATTCTTTAAAAAAAAATAAACTTGTTGTTAATCCAAGTATCAGCAAAAAGTTGTCCATAATAATTAATAGTTATAAACAAACAAACGTCGAATAATAATAATATACAGAAATGAATACATTAAAAATTATAATTAAAAATACACAACCATGTTTCTACTAAATAAATTCGTTATTTATATTTAAAATTTTTTTAATTTTTCAAATAGAATTTTATCTCTGGGTTTATTTGTATATTAACAATACAAATTCTTATCATTTTTAATCTAATAACGAATATATTGTAATTTTTATATTTTAATAATGATTTTTTATCAATAACAATATAATTAGAGTTAAAATTATTTTTAAGTGACTAGATACTCTATTGTATTAAAAATATATATTTTTCTATATTATTATTAATTTTATTTATAATGCAATAATGATACATTAAATAAAATTTATAAATTTTTACAACTACACCATTTATTTATTTAACTTTAGTTAAGTTTAGCACATAACATGTGTAGCCTTAATTACTATGGTAATATAAAATAATAATAATAATAATAATTAAAATGTTTTATTTATATAAATTATGTTAATTACTAAATTTAATACTTTTTATAATTTTTTATAATTTTGAATGTTTCTTTAGTATTCTATTATAAGTAAAATTTCCTATGGTATTAGTTATTTTGTTATAAGTCTCTTAAAAATATAGTAAGTTGATCTGTAAAATATTATTATAATATATAATTATTTTACAGATATACTTTATTAACATATTATGCATATAATGTGTTATATAAATGAAAAATGATAAAAATGTTTACTCTTTTAAAAAATAATTATTAAAGTGAATTAAACTACCACAAAATATTAGTAAAGGTTATGAGTTTACATAAACTGTAATACACTTAATATTTTCAACAATGATTAAAATTTAACAGCGGTCGCAGTTCCTGTCTTAGCACTGATGCTCAACTGATTCTGTTTGCTGTTAGTTCCCCCGGATGGGTCATCTTACGGTAACTTTAACAGAGACACACACTTTGTTTCCTTAGTGGTCCCCTTAGCCATAACGAAGTTGCATAAGGTGACAGCTAATATAAAAAATTCTGTAAATTAAGGAAGAGTCGACCCCAAATAGTTGGAGGCTAAGGAGTTGATGATGGGCATGAAAAATTTAACAAGCAACACTATTATTGTTATAATAATTAATTACGACAATTTTACTAATCAAAATGATTAATTGTAAATATATTATATACTAATTAAATATACCATTTTTTATTCAAATTTACTTTGTAGATTAATTAAAAAGTAATAATTCTGCTACTTAGAAATTCTTTTTATTGAGTTAATTTTCTTTAAGAATTGTTTTCACGTTCTATTCCAACACAAATGACAATATATAATTAGCAATGATATTATTAAATATTTACTTTTAGTTGACCATAAAAAAATGAATAAAGTTGATGTTTAAAGTAGGAATTTTTTTTATTTATGTCCATAAATAATCGGTAACATAACATGTATAAATATTTAAAAATTAATTTGACCTATAAAGTTATATTTTAAATGTACTGAACACATTTCATAATCATTCCGTCGTATCACTAGATTATCAATTTATTTTAATAACATAAAACAATATCCGATAAAATTACTCACATGGGGTATTACCACGTCATGCTTTTCATTATGTTATTATGTAAATAGTGACATTAAAACACTGCCTGTGGTAGTCATAATCCCTTAAATAATTTTACACAAACCAAAAGCTTTATTGTTTTCAAGTTAATATGCAAAGCTAAATTTTATTCCTGTAAATTAACTTACGTATAACTGTTGTGTTTTCATTGAATATTCATTTGAACGTATACTTGCTTGCTTTTATTACACAATTCAAATGTATTACTTTAATAACTTTATCTCTTTTGATAGATGTTTACTTACTTGGTAAATATGATTTTCAATTAAAAAAAAACTAAATTAACATTTTCGACTGAGATATTGTCATTGAACGATAAATTATGAAAGTTGACTTTAATGCTCAATTAAATAATTCCATAGTTATGTTGAAAAATACCATTTTATTATTCAACAAGACTGTCGTTTTAGTTTCTCAATGACTGCGGCGAGAAACTTTCAACAGGAATGTGCGTATCAAATTCCTTTCCTGGCGCCTTATGAAAGATTAAAAACTAATGAAATTCCCACGAAAATTCCAATGTTTCCGTGCGCTTAATAATTTCAACGATTCATAACGCATCGATTTCAATCGTAATTTTATCATACTCTACTTTCGTAGTACACTTGGTCACCATTATATTTTAGAGAGTTGTAACATACCTATTAAATGTAATTAAATTATTATATAAAATTATGTCTTTTAACTAGATTACGAAGTGTGAGTATGTTTTTACATCTAATGTAGAAAGCAAAAGTTTTAATAGAGTAAAATATATATTTTACTTATAAAGAAAAACCATTTAAAATAAAATTCTTCTTTTGATTAGAAAATATTATAACGCTTATTGAATTGTAATATTTAAAAATAAATTGTTTTATATTTCACTAATGAACGACTACTGAACATAAAAGGTTCTAAATTTTGCAAATCTTCCATTATTATTTTTATTTCTTTATTTTCGAATAAATTTTTTAATGAAATATTATCACATAGAAAAAAATTGATTTGCTTAATCAACATTGATTGATTAAAATAACTTACTATCATTTTATCGGATCAAATAACAAAAGAGAGTATTTCTTAAAAGAAAAACTTTTTGATCTTATAGAATTGTTTGTAATAATGACTAGTCTAAAATTTCGAAGCACTTTGAACAGACAAGTAAAGCGTTTTGTTCAGCCATGACGTCACTTGATGCGATCGAGTGTCTATGCGTCGTCAACGAGACGCCAAACGAACAACCAACTCTTGACTTAAACGGCACACGACAGTCCGTTTTTCAGTCGCTTGAACATTGTTAGCGTTGATCGTCAAACAACATACTTTACAGTTTGCTTTGGACAGTGTAATTTTGCCATGCTAAAGTTAGTGCAAGCAGTCTTATGGTTGCTTGGAAGTGGTTGGTGTTGTATCGTTGCACTGGCCAGTAATCGAGTATACACTGTTCCTCTGGATGAATCTGGAGGCATGACACTCTATTGGACACTAGACCCGTCTGACCAATCGGTTATGTTCGAAGCCCATTTAAATGTATCCAGTCCGTTTGATTGGTGGGCTCTGGGATTTTCAAATCGTGGAAATTACACTGAAGCAGACTTTTGTATTATGTGGGTCGACTGGAAAGGCCACACTCGTATGGTGGTAAGAACAAATGTCGTGAACTTGTTATATTTACAGTTAATTTATTTCGCCTCTTCCACGTTTAATTTTACCATTTTAACTTAAACCTCCTTGGAAATGTTCACAAAGTATTGAAATATCTGATTTGTAATTTAATATAAGTTAAATGTGTGTCGATTATGCAAAAAATAACAACTATTTTAACGTCCAATGTAAATTTAAGAAAATTAATATCTAGTACTCACTTAAATCTTAAAAAGTAAAATTATCAAAAAAATATAGCGAAGAAATTATTTGACCTAAATGACACTTGAGAACTTTTACCGTTAAACGGAGTAATAGAGTTTAAAAGTATTAAATAACATTTTTTTTTGCAAATTTTGCTATTAATTTTTTTAATTTTTAAATTACCTTTTAAAATAAGTAATTAAAAACAATTAAAATAAAAAATAATCGTACGTTTATATCTTATAGGATGCTTGGGCTGATGATGTGGGAAGATTATTCATTGACGAGCAACAAGATTGCACCAATTTTGACATTACTCGATTTCACGATGGCTTAATAGCTTTAACATTTTCAAGAAAGTTTGATACTTGTGATGACCAAAATGATTATTTAATTGAGGTAACTTCATATTTTATTCAAAAAGTTAAGTTTAATGCAATTTCAGAACATTTTTTAACCAATTTTTATTTTGTAAAAGGGTGGAACAACTCACATAGTTTGGATGATAGGTGGAGGCCCATTGTTTGCTGTAAATGGTCTATTAGTATCGCAAGCTAAAAAGAAAGGTATGCAAAGAGTACAGCTGTTAAAACCTGAGAGACCTCCAGTAAAATTACCTAATAAGGTTTCTAAAATTGATATTTTGGCCAACAATGTTAACGTGCCTGCCGAAGAAACTACTTACTGGTGCCACGTGATGAAAATTCCTTTAGATTTATCGTTTAAACATCACATTGTTAGAGTAAGTTGTCTTTTTCAACATTATGTTTCAAATTAGAATTTTTTTATATTTTAATACGGGAGAATTTACTTTAATCTTTAAAATTAAAATCTATTAGTACCTTCTTTCATTTGATTCAAACATATGAACGGTTTTTGTGAAAAGGTCGTCAAGTCAAATTTTGTCATTTGTATGTTAATTATCAATTTTATTGGAAATTTTATAAAAATTTTATGATAAATTTACCGAGTAAAATTTTACTCCTCAAAAAGTCATGTGATATTTTAGATAAAATGATATAATTTAATAATGATAATGATATCAATATATATCCAATATATCAATATACCAATATGAAAATCCTATGATTTCAGATACGTCAACTTATTTAAAAATTAATTAATAGTATGCTATTTTACCTGAAATTTTTTCAATACATTTGACACAATATTTAAATTATATAATTATCTTTCGGAAGAACATTGATATTTTTATTTTTAGCTGTTATACAGAGTGATATCCATTTATCATTACTCGACTCAATTACTTGCAAAATAAAAATATCGATGAGCATTTTATTTTGGTTATCTTAGGTACATGTTTTTTTCAGTTTTTCAATCATAAATTGTTTTATTAATTCCTTGTACCTTATAAGGGCATTCAATTTATACTTTAAAATTATATTATGCATATTTAACTAGCTTAGGAAATTGTTAGATTATTTCAAAATAAACTTCAATTCCTATTACATTAATTATATCCTCATTAGTTGTTATTTAGTTTATAAGTATAATATATGAAAAAATTCTT